AATTGACTGGAAATTTATTTAGTTATCAATGGTTTAGATTTTAAAGGCATTGAAAAACAAACGGTTGACAAATGAATGTAACAATCATTTCAATAATTTATATTTTTCTAAATCATGTTTTAGTTTTATTTAATTGTTTAAATGGCTATACATTTGGGCCAAATATTGTTCACTTATAACATATTTTGTTTCTTATTTTTATTCAATAATTTATGCGATAAAGTGTTGACACAAAAGAAGACATCTGTAGTTAAGAAGCCGTTGAAGTCGCCTCAGAATAAGGTATTATCGTCGGGCACTTCCATCAGCAAAAAATTACCGGCTCATGGTAAAAAATGGCACTATGGTACATTTACATTCATTATTTGCTCACTATTCTTGTCAATTTATTCAATCAAGTATAGAGTATATTAGAATTATTTTTGTTTAATAACTTTAATATTAATGACATTATGTCATGAATTATGTCATTATCTTATATTAACTTTTAAGATTCTTAATGATTAATACTTAATGCTTATCGTAATTATACTTAAAGTATTTATTTTACAATTATTGCATCAAATGAGGTGAGAATTGGCCAAAGCATGGCTTCAGTGGTTGTGGCGGCGAAGAACAGTCGCCCATTAGACTCGTCACCGCCGACGCCACGTCTCAGGAATTGCACCTCAATTTCCGTAATTATAGGAAACCAATACGTCTGGCATTTATAGAGAATAACGGACACACAGGTAAGGCATTCAATACTTTGTGCCCACCAAACAAAATGATGCAATTTATTATACTTTCAAATAATTTGTAACTTCACTTTCAGTGCAAATAGGTTTTAGTGATAAATTTATAATCACTGTTTACGGGTCGGCGTCTAATAACAAGGAATATATATTCAGTCAAATGCACTTCCATTGGGGCAGTTATAACGCTGTGGGCTCTGAACACACAATCGACGGCTATCGAGGTTTATTGGTTTCTCATTAATACATTCATTCGTAGAATTTCTACAATAGAAATACAGTTATACCGGTTATAAGATAATGTTTTCCTTATTAAATGACAAATTTGCATTATGATCATAATATCTTATATTACGCTAAACCAGAATTTGAAAAGTTCTTTTGAATTTAAAACTAATTATCATCTCATATATGGGTTAAACGAAATAATAAATTGAATGCAATTTATAGGTCCGATGGAAATACATTTGGTTCACTATAATAGACAATATCCTAATTTTGACGCCGCTTTGGGCAGAGACGACGGTATTATGGTTTTGGGGGCTCTTTATAAAGTAATATAAACTAAACTTTGTTTAGTTTTTGGATAACAATATTATCGATACATTGCTTTTCAGATATCTTCGCGAAACAATCAGTTTATGTCAACAGTAATATCGTTAGTGAAAGACGTTCCCCGATATAAAGACAAGGCTTTCATATTGCGATCATTCACTTTGAGATCATTATTGCCCTCACGTTTGAAGCCATTCTTTACATACACCGGATCTCTAACCACTCCTCCGTGTACTCAACATGTCTTGTGGTATATCTCTTACATCTATTTGTCGTTTCCTTTGTCTATAATAATTACTTACCAATTATGCACTTATTATAGGCTTGTGTTCAAGAATACTGTGAACATCGGTGGGGCGCAGGTATGGATGCCATCGGAATAATAAACACCACAAAAATGCAATTAATGTTAATTTAGGTTTACTTTATTGACTCTAAGAATAAACTTCTTATAATAATAAATATTAAATCTATTTTGATTGTCAAAAAACACTGTTGGTTTTGGGGGCTCTTTATAAAGTAATATAAACTAAACTTTGTTTAGTTTTTGGATAACAATATTATCGATACATTGCTTTTCAGATATCTTCGCGAAACAATCAGTTTATGTCAACAGTAATATCATTAGTAAAAGACGTTCCCCGATATAAAGACAAGGCTTTCATATTGCGATCATTCACTTTGAGATCATTATTGCCCTCACGTTTAAAGCCATTCTTTACATACACCGGATCTCTAACCACTCCTCCGTGTACTCAACATGTCTTGTGGTATATCTCTTGCATCTATTTGTCGTTTCCTTTGTCTACAATAATTACTTACCAATTATGCACTTATTATAGGCTTGTGTTCAAGAATACTGTGAACATCGGTGGAGCGCAGGTATGAATGCCATCGGAATAATAAACACCACAAAAATGCAATTAATGTTAATTTAGGTTTACTTTATTGACTCTAAGAATAAACTTCTTATAATAATAAATATTAAATCTATTTTGATTGTCAAAAAACACTGCAATTAAAAACAGTCCATTTCATAACACATGTGTTTTGAGCGCAAAACAGGTTTTCTCTCTTAATGTCCACTCCTTTCCTGTCAATTAGATAATCAGTTAATCACATAATAAGTTAAATTCTGTGCTAAATATAATTGTCGCTAAAAATTATACTAATTTTATAGGAGAAACAATTCCGTAAGTGTCGGAGCGGTTATAATAATCCGAAGACTGGCCTCAAGAAAACCATTTCCAACAATTTTAGACCACTTCAGGCAACTAATGAAAGACAAATCCTACTCTCGGCGTAATATTGTGTAATTATAAATGCAATCAATTGTTAATTGCAATCAAAATCGAAAATTATTTTACATAAAAAATTTATAAAAGGAATGTAAAAATGTATTGTAAAGTCATATCAAATAAATTATAAATTATATACAAATTATAAGAATGAAATCATATTAAAAATCTGTGTTTTTTGGATTGAATTTCTATACAAATGATGAAAAGCCGGGAAGCGGTGCACGACTTCCGGCCATATTATTCACTATAATTCGGCCGCCGTTTAGATTAACGGACGGACAGTCGAGTTCACTGTCTTCGGACGCGTTTATGGCAATGGCTGCTAAATAGCTGGGAGGCGGAGGGGCTGGCAGTGCCGGCGGGTCACGCATTGGCATTGAATGTCTGTGATGTGTTGGCACTACATATTGTTTTGCGTGTCGTTTCCACGAGGGCTGGCCTTTCCTGAGTGTGTCGTTCACATTGGCGTAATGGTTGACAAAATGGTTGGCAGCGCTCATGTCGTCGTGTTCTGACTCCGACTCCGGACCCGAACTACTCATTTCGCTCGGCTTTTCCGTCAAACTCTCGCCACTGCTCTCGTAAATGCCGGCGCCTTTAATATCGTCGTCTTCGTCGTCGTCCTCATCAGAATAGGTGATAGAGCCGGGAGAGGGTCGCGGCGGACACTTAGTGGCCGCCAGACTGGCCACTGTACTCAATGTGCCGGTACTGCGGCGCTGGTGTGTTGTCAAAGTGCCCACGTGTTGTCTCATTTCAAACCCGGTTGGATAATGAGTGTCCATATTGTCGTCCAAACCGAAGCCTACTTCTGAGAGCCTGTCCTGCGATCCTTTGATGATCTCTTGTTTGTATTTATTAGTCTTATTCTTAACACAAAGCACTGCTATAACCATAATAGTAATCACAACACTAAGACAGGCGCACAGAATAACAAACCAACTCTCACTGCAATTACAAAACAATAATTTTAATAAATTGCATAAAACGTGTCAACCTTTGCCTATTAATTACCGATAGTATGGCATCCGTGCCCTGAGCTCCAAATGAGATGGGGTTTGAATGACAACAGTGCCGATCACTTTGTCAGGATATGCGGGTTCACTAATGCCCTTATCATTCATTGACATCACTCGGAAGGTGTACTGAGAAGACGGCGCCAAATGAGTGTAACTTAATTCATATCTCTCTTGTCTTCCATTCTTAATCTGTGAGACGGGTTGCCATTCGAGCGCTCCCTTTATGTTCAGATTATTCGCTTCAATCAGATAACCAGTAATAGCCCTATAGTCCGGATTCTTCCACTTGAGCTTCACTGATGTCAGCGTTTGAGTAGATATGACATCAGTGGGTGGAGGGGGCGAACCGGGTTGTGGGCCAGTCGTCACTACAATCAACAAAATATTCATATAATAAATCGTTTATAAATAACTTTTCTGTATATATTTTCTAGTGTAAAAAAATACAAACCGTTTCCAATAGTCTCGGGTCCCACACCGGCGGATGTCTCGGCCCTAACTTTGAAGGTATACATAACCCGTTCCCTTAAGCCATTGACCACCAAATAGTTGTCGTTTATTTTTTGCTTCACTTGTTTGCTAAAATCGTTAATCAGTGTCTCATACATGACATAATAGCCCAACAGAATGCCGTTGGGCTCGACCGGCGGTTTCCAGGAGACCTTCACCTGAGACATCGTTATCTCGTCGAACACTAGAGCGCCGACCGGTCCGGGAGTGTCCTCTTTGGTCTCGACGACAATAGCTCGAGATCGGGGGCCATCGCCGGCCGGATTGAACGCCGACAACTGAATGCTATAATTAGACCATTTAATGAGATCCAATAGAATGAAGGACTCGGTGGTGTCGGGCACGATCTCCATCATCTCTCGGGGCTGTTCGTAGTAAACACTCTTATGGGTGTTGCCGTTCAGGTCGCTGTTGAGCCGATAGTGGGGCTCTGTTTGTTGCCAATAAAATATCTTATATCCCATGATCTGTCCGTTCTGTTTGTTTTTGTCGGGTGCGCTCCACGTGACCCTCATCTCGGATGATGACAGCGCTGTTGTCGTTATATTCAACGGCTCACCCGTCGGAACGGCTGAACATTACAGAAAAATAGCAGTTAATAAACTATTGGATAGTTTATGCCAAACAATAATACAAACCTTCGCCGACGTAAACCATTTTGGGTTTACTGGTGGGTCCGTCGCCCTGACTGTTGTAAGCGATAACTTTGATCTCGTAGTGTTGGTCGCGCTCTAAGTTC